CGCGCGCTGCAAGGCGGCCGAGGCGGCGGCCGACGAACCGGCGCTGTGCCTGCAGTGCGATATGAACGACTGCTACAGCCGCCTGCGGAGGTTGGTCCCCACCATCCCGCCCAACAAGAAAGTCAGCAAAGTGGAGATCCTGCAGCACGTCATTGACTACATCCTGGACCTGCAGCTGGCGCTGGAGACGCACCCGGCTCTGCTGAGGCAGCCGCCGCCGCCCGCGCCGCCGCACCACCCGACTGGGACCTGTCCAGTCGTGCCGCCGCGGACCCCGCTTACGGCGCTCAACACGGACCCGGTGAGAGGCGGGCCGGGGGCTGGATGCTGCGGGGATCAGGCGGATGGAACCGGGGTGGCGGGATGCGGCTAAGGGCTAAGGGCCAGCCGTGCATGACAGCCACCCCACATCCCACCCCCTTCCTCCCGGCGCCGCCAGCTCGGCTCTGCGAGCCGCGGGTCCGGGTGATCGGCGGGGCTGGACGCTGGGCTGTCAAGTACCGTGTTTGGCTAGGGTGGGTTCGTGCGCCTTGCAAGTCCAGGGGCTGCACGCGGGGTGGAGGCGTACGTCTGCGCGCCTGCCTGCCGAGGAGGAATCTCCGAGCGGGCCGAGCTCCCTGCTGGCGCCCGCTAACCTTTCCCTTCCTGTTGGGTTGCTGTTGCAGGCCGGCGCGGTGAACAAACAGGGCGACAGCATTCTGTGCCGCTGAGCCGCGCTGTCCAGGTGAGCGCGCGTATTCCCTTCTCGGGTAGCTGGTCACTAGAGACGGCCGTCCACCCGAGGCTTCCGGTGTCGGGCACCACGGTATTCTTCTGCCCCCGGCATTTATGAAGGCAAACTTCCAAAGACGCAGCCCTCCTCCCCGCGGCGCTTCTGATGCCACCCAGTTTTCCAGCGAACCCTGTACTTAGTTTTAGTAACTCGGGGTTCACACTAAACGGTGCCTCTGGCTCCCCCGTGCCTTTCCCATTAACGGGTGGGGCTTCTTCTGCACCCCACTCCAAGGGAGGACACTCTCCACTCTCGTGGGCGTGGAAACTGCCCCGTTGTCCGCCCACGCAGCCTGACACCCACAAGAGGTGCAGGTAGGACCCGAGAGTATGGGTTCCCGCTCCCCTCCCCCCTTTCCAGAGACCCGCAGCGGTCCACTCTGCGTCCAGCCAGGCCAGGCTGCGGGTGTCGTCTGACCTGGTTTGTTTTGGGTTGTTGATCAAGCATGTCTGAAGTTTGGTCGGTGGCGCCGGTTAGTCTGCAGCGGGAAGGTTCACACACCCCCACTATTCATTCCTCTTCCACAGGTGTGCGGCCGCCTGAGCTGGAGCCAGGAGCTCTAGAGAGGGAGGGGGAAGAGCAGAAGTTAGAAAAAAAGCCACCGGAGGAAAGGAAAAAACGTCAGCAAACCCTAGAAACGTTTTCATTCATCATTCCAAGAGGGAGAGAGAGGAAAGAAAAATACAACGTTCACCCTTTTTTGCACGTTCATAAACCTTCTACATACATACTCTGTTTCGTCTCTTCATTTGTAGCCGCTGTGAATTTGTACGTTGCTGTGTTTTTTGGAGGTGCAGTTAAACTTTTAAGCCTAAGTGTGACGGGACTGATACAATAGAAGATCAAGAGCAAATCCGATTTTTAGAGGCCTACTTTGTGACCAAGGAGCTCAGTTTATTGCTTTGAAGCTTTACTAATGTACCTGAGCATTGTAGATACTCTTTTTTTTGTTGCTGTGTTTTGTTTTGTTTTTTGACATCTATTGTTTAAAATAGATGATTATAATGGGGCAGGGAACTTTCTTTTCCCTGCAAGGATGTTACATATTGTATAGATAACTGAGTGACATTTCATACCGTGTATATATAGAGAGATGGTCTATAAGTGTGAGAGAAGTATATGCTTTAATAGACTACTGTAATTATAAAATATTTTTAATTAAATATTTTTTGTAAATATTATACGTGTGTTTCGTTGTTGTTTTAAAATCTATGGGAATATTTCTTTTGGAAAATTATTTTTTAGCTCGGTTGCAGAGCTCTTGATAATCTTGAATGTTTTTTTCTGTTTGGCCTGGTTTCTAATTTGTTTTTTGTTTGTTTTATTTTATTTTTGCCCAGTGTTGTAGAATTGGAAGTAACGGTTCAAGTTACTGGTCCTGCATGACTGTATGAGATGTTTAATCACAAAATAAACTTGTTCTGAGTCCATCACATGTGTTTTCTTTAACCTAGATTGAACTCTTTGTATTTGAAGTATCCATGTTGAATATATACTTTGATCAGTTTTTAAGTACAGGGTTTTATAGTGTAAATACATAGAGTTTAAGTGTTCCATGTTTTTTTAACTGAGGTCAAATGGATACTGAATGGTTTTGCATATGGGATGGTGAAATGCTTGGATCCTTATTGGAGTTTATGAAATCTGTTTTATCAAAGTGAAAAGAAAATTCGTATCACTCTTCATTTTACACTAAAGCTTAATGTCACTAAGTTTCGTGTCTGTACAGATTATTTAAAACATAGAAACAAAAATTGTTCTCTGCTTGCTACCAAAGGACAAACTCTTGAAAATGAACACTTACTGCTTACCTTCCTCCAAAGAATATTAATAGGCAACAGTGAGAGAAAAACAAAAATGAAAAGGCATAATGGCAAATTCTTCAAGCAGGGATGAGTCGATCTTCAGACATTAAGTAGACCAAAAATTCTGATGACCACATCTAGATTATTTTTTTATGAAAATGATTTTCACTGTAGCTGTTAGTGATCACTAAGCTACTGTTCAATCTTGTGATGTGTAACTTTTACATGTGAATATTAAAGTAGATTTATCTGTCTTTAACTGATTTCTGGTCTCATTTCTTGAAAACCTTAGCTCTCTTACTCTTAATGACTTTGTTTTCTCTTTAAGAATGGTAATATTTTCTGTGTTCAGTTGGACTCTCAGGGCTTGTGAATATTATGCATTGAATGTGCTCTGCTCCATACTTTACACACCAGTTAGATAGAATTTTAAGGGTAAGAGAGAATTAAGTAGGATTTAATTGGGTGCTTTGTAAATAGCCAACTATGTGTGTAACGTGGTCTGTTTGATATTAAAAAAGATTTGTTTCAGATTATACAAGAATAAAAGTATTACAGACCCGAGGGACCTTTTATGAGACTAAAGTCAAACATGAATATGGAGTATTTTGGTCCCTCGTAGTTAAAGAGGCAATGTCTCAACAGAAAAGAACCAAGTAATACGCGTAGTTTCAAATAAAAGATTGAAAAATGGGTTCCATTTCTAACATTCTTTCCCCCAAGCTGTGACATTTTACTGGTCTTGGACATTTTTAGAATCGGATGGATTTGATGTTGGGCTATTTATAAAGTCAAAGGACTGTTTAGGTGAAGTTTATTTTTACTTTTTATATTATTGTCATACGTCAAAGAGAAAACACTTAGAACACTGCTGGAATTCCAAAGCCGAAGAATTTGAAGGATTGCATTCTTTGTTACTAAAAAGAGGACAATTCCTTTTTATTTCGCAGTTTCAATTCAGCAGGAAGCATGTCACATGTACCCTGTTGGTCTGAGTTGGGCATCTGTCACTCCTGACTGCTGAACCTTCCCTACCTAAATCCATGGGCACACTTTAAGACTTCAGCTGGTAGATTATAAACCTTAAGTAGATGATGTTGTTGAAGATAGATGTGGCTCCTTTGTTAAATTTACGTATATTATGGGCAAGAAAATCCACTAAATGGGGGAAAAGAATGTTACAGATAATACATTTCAGAGTTGGCATTTTCCCCTTGGCCACTCAAGCAGCATTTGATGTCTATAAAGAAACAAAGTCCATTGTTTAGAAGAAGAAAAATTATAGGCAGTTGTATAAGATAACTACATTCTGTTAAAACCTTGTCTGTGTCTTAACCAAGCAACCAGAAAACAAAAACATTGCAGTCATCTGTCTAGTTAACACTAATTATTCAGATACTTAGTTTAACAAACAAATATCCTGACTTCTCTCCATCAATTTGTGTACTTTGCATAGGAAGGCACTGCGTCAAAGGGTATGAGAATAGTTTAAAACTCTCTAAATGGAGGGAAAAAAGTATACTACACACAGTGGGTGCTATTTCTGATGTTAAAAAATCCTCACATTTCAGATACTGCTCATATTAAAGAAGGAAAATTCCTTTCATTTCAAAAAATAGTTACACTTGGATATTGTGTAAACTTTACTCAATTCATCTTCAAACTCTTATTGCAATTTTAGAACTTCTTACCCAACCCCCAATATTGTTATCAGATACCTCTCTAACAATAATTCTTCACTGAGCAAAAGGTTCTTAAGTTTGTGGTTTCTAATTGACTTCTACTGAGTCACGTAATTTTTCATGATCAAGACTGGGTCTCTTGATTGATGGCCTCAATTATGTACAGTGTTGCTTACCATGTGATGAAAAATGTGGCTTAAAAGCGGTGATGTGAACATTAAAAAAAAAAAAAAAATCTCATTGAATACTAGGGAAATATTCTATTCTAGTCTTGAGTGTCTGCTGAGATAGGAACCAGTCACACTAAGGAAGACAGCAGGAAAGATGCCCAGGGAAAACTAGACACACAGCAAATAATACAGACAGAAAGACATCATTTCACGGTAGTATTTAAAACAAATAGAACTGACTCTGCCTTTTTACTGGTGCACTTTATGATTGATATTGATATATATATATATATCGGTCCAGATAGCCCTTGGATTTCCACAGGGCCAAAAACCAAGACTTCCAGGTTTATGAGGAAGGAAGTTCTTCCCTTTGCTGTTTTGCAAGTCCAGGAAATTAATTTACCTGCTTTTGAATTAATAGGGTTGCCCTATGTAGGTATTCTTCCGACGCAGACAAATTTCTTTCAGTTACAGCCTATGACATTTTGCAAAAAAAAAAAATTTGTATATTAATTGAATTGATTTACCCAAGAGGTTTGGGGACTGTAATTTTACTTAGTTTCATCCTGATCACTAGTACAATCAATGCTTTTAATGACAAAGATTTGATGAAAAGGGAACTAATTTGTTTAGTTCAAAGAAGACAAACTCTTCATAAATACTGTAGTTGAAAATGCTCTCAAAATTTCAATGAATTTTGTAAAGGGTACTTTCTATTCAAATGCCACCTTCATACTTATTTATATCCTGGCTTGTTCTAAAAAGTTTCACATAAAAGCTAAAACTTAGGTCTGAACCACGTTGCTAAATGCTTTCTATACTCACCTCAGCAAAGCAATTTGATATTGAATTTGCTTAATAGGGCCATCATTTGTAATTCTACACAGTAAATTCACACATGGGGATATGAAAAAAGGTCCATAAAAACTGAAGTTAATTTGAAAAGACCTTCTGAGTCCATTAAAGAGTAAACACATCCGTTGCTCAGGACAGAAGAATAGGATTGTACTTGTATCCCTCTGACTAAAATGTGAATTCAGAGGAAGTTGAAAACTTAAAATTGTTTAAATAAAGAGATTCAAGACAAATTGTCTGTGTGAATCCACTAATGTTTGATTTTTCTTTTCCTAATTAAGTCCCATACTTTAGAAAGGTGTTTTCTATGAGACTATGAAGTATCAGTAATATGCAAAATTCTTGATGAAACAAGACACCATTATCTGCTTAGAATTACTGCTTTCTTAATGCTTTGTGAGATAAAATACAAATCTGCACTTTTCCCATGCTTATTAAATTTAAATTTTTCATTTTGTCTTTTATCCGAAAGTTTTTAATTTTCACAGTTCTTCATGCAAATTCATGTGTTTTATGCTGTTTCTTAAATGTTCACTTATTTTCTTAAATATTTATTTACTACCTTTGTAAGATCTAGCCATTAATTAAGACTGTAGCCATGTGTGTGTGTGTAATTATTTACCTAAAAAGAGTTACCTAATGTACAAATCTCAAAAACAGCTGTCAAAGGGAGTTTCACTCTGTTTTGCCTCCACTTTTTCTTGTAATTTCTAACATTTAAGATTTACATACAGATGCGCTACCCCATCCATATCTTTTTGGAGCTACACTCAGCAATGGCAACATCACACTGGTTATGCATTTGGCTGCTAACTGGAAAGCTGGCAGTTGGAGCCTACCAACAGCTCCATTCGAGAAAAGACCTGTTGATCTTCTGTAAAATCTGCTGCCTAGGAAACCCTATGGGGCATTTCTATCTGCTCTGTCATAGAGACTATCTATGTGATAGCACACAGCCACAATAGCTAACTAGGTTCAGTTTAGCATAAGACCGTATAGAAAATAAAAAACAAATAAATCAGTGGTCATGAAGGTCATGCCCTAGAATTTCTCTTAATCTCCCATGCAATTTCCAGTAAAAAGTCAAGATAAAAAGGATGTTCTTGTATGTCATAACCTCAAAGAAAACCAGGGAAACAGGCATAAACTTGTAGATACAAATTTTACACCTGCAGTCAGCAATCATTCCTGGAGATGCTTTTCACACATGAGGAAACTGACTGTTGTAGAAAGTAA